ACCTTTCCTGGAAGCGCGCAGCGAAAATGAAGCACACTTTTCAGGTCCTTGCATGAGCCCCTACAATATGCAAAAAACCGTTTTCGAAAAGCGCACCACGCCCTGAACGACCTCCCTTGTAGAGTTCGCAACAAACGAGACTGTAGCGCTTTGCTGTGCTAGAGAAACACATGACAGACAATCCACGCTGCCTGGCTGAGCAAAGTCAGGCCCATCACCTTGTTTTTCTCTATAGTTTGTCCTTACTTCCTGGTTCAATAGAGGAAGATCGACTAGATGGTCATAACTTCGGTCGCTTAACTTAGAGTAAAGCGGTTGTTGTGGCTGGAAAGAATGGGCAGTAGAGTGTTCAACAATTTCACATGGACTTTCTCTCCTATCAGCACTGCTATTCACCTCCTGCTCTATAGACTTCGCCACAGAACACAGCATCGTTGGGAGAATCCCATCAGGGGTCGTATTCCGTCGCTGGGAAGGGGGAGGGGGTCTTTGAAAGGTTGGCACGATAATTTGGTACTCGGCCTAAAATGCTAGCAGGCGCTATATAGTGGGAAAATGGCGAAAGAACGGAGTGAAACGGTCAAAATCCTGCGAAGAAAAAGCCTTCGTTCTCAATGACTTAAAAATCAATTTCGGACGAGTTTCCTTAGGCATCTTGCCAATAACCGCTACCGAAGGTGCGGCTGATATATCCATGCAGCATCACGGCCGCTTCATACCAATCCCTTCGCTTCATAATTTGCTTAGCAAATGAATCAATACGAGCGTCAGGAACGGTCGTCCATTTGTGGGCGGGCGGGCGTGGTGGGCGTTCGGGTCGGTATGTTGTAGCTTGACAGGCCCTTATTAAGATACCTTTGGGAAGAGCGCTGCGCAGCTCCTTATCAGGGGCGCGGAATTCCGTTCTGCCTGGCGTATTAATCCTACTCGTCTGGAGATTTGGATTTATGGGGATGCCAACTGCCTTCAAAAGAGGGATGAGTCAGTACCGAAGAGTAAGCAAACGAAAGTGAATGAAAGCATGGACCTTTCCAAACACTTCTGCCACATCGCTCGTGAGGACAGGCGTGAGTTCCGAAAGTACGTCTCGAACCCTTTCCGGAGAGGTGAAACATGGCCCACTACACCATGGAGCCCTCGACGCACGCTTGACTTGCGGCACTATCTGGTCAGCGTAGACTGCCTTCTGGACAGTTTTAGTTCTTCAGTAGACAAGAAGTGTACGTGAACTTCCATGAATATGCTCCATCCCTTGGAGGTGGAGTGGGCTCAACTGCGTGGGTGGTTTGAGCGTGACAGCGGTGACGGTATTTACCGTTTCGAGACAATTGTAGTTACGCCTTCGTCTAGCCGAAAAAGGGCTACAGTCACCTTGGCAACTATGTCCCACAGGAAAAGTAGGCAGCCACCTGCATCCCTCCCCTTCTCGTCTCCGGAATGTGAAATCTAATTTGCTACTGAAGGTAAATCAATTGTGTACCTAACTATGGTCCATGATAGGACCACTCAGATAACGGAGCTATACTTACTGTACAACAGCAATAGCGCTGGGTGCTTTGTTCACGCCATCTATGGTGAAGAATGGGATGTTTTGTTGTTGAGCTGCGTGAATAGGGAAAGTCTTTGATGTGATTCTCGACGCGAACCGTCAAGCATGGCTGAAACAAGTAGTTTTGAGAATAAGTCGAGAAACTGGGTATTGTTAATCATTTTGTTGTTGGAGACACAGTGTACGCTAACCTCCCATGCACGACTGAATGGTTTTGCAGCTACGGTAGCGTCATGCATTCTCCACTCAAAATGAAGCTGGAGGGTAGCAGTACCCCGTCGGCGCCTTCGGCCCGCGCTGCAGCACAATAGCAAGATGCCGAAAGCGTCTCTTGCCTACGCTGTCTTTCTCCTTTCAAAAGTGCATGGGAAGGGGGCTGAACGGTACTGATACCCGGCTTGCGTACTGATACCCGGTTGCCGTGTCCTGACACCGCATGCATTGTTGAATTTTCAGCCACAAGCCTAACCGTAGCCAAACTTGTCTGCGTCTCCACTCGTGGATGTTCTCTGCCTTTGATGAGTATTCCCTGCGGGACTTTGACATAGACGCAAGTGTGGCACTTCGGGGATAGCGCGATCAATGTGGACAAGGGCCAACCTCCAGCTCAGCTTACATGCACTTCTCAGCAGATCAGTGGAGAAAGTGGGACGCTGCTGCAGCTGCGGGCCCACTTACCTTGCACGTGGCGAAGACAATTCTCGTAGGTGATACAGTCTGTCGCTAACCTCTACTAGACGCAGGGGGGGGGTTAGACCTTCAGTAAAGGGTTCCTCGCTCCGCATGCGAGCTGAGCCTTCCGGACGCTTTTGTGACTTATGGGGCAGAAGGCGAGTGAACGGCAAGTGATCCCATCTAATCTGAGCTTAGTAGTAGCAGAGCATGGATGAGCACGTCCGTGCGCTGTCTCATCTCGTACAGCGCATTGTTTTGCACGTGAGAGGGGAAGGTGAAGGGAGGGCAAGGGTTACGCACCGCCGCGTGACCCTCCCCTCAAATGCAGCAGCTTCGCTCTACCATTACCACTGAGTCACTTGCCAAACGGCTAACGTGCAGTCCTATTTGCTCTGCGGATGCCGATGCGTGTCAGGGACTCGGATTTGGCGCGGCGCCAACCCGTTCTTCGCTAGTTGTTGAAGCGTTCAAGCGACAACAGATGGTGGAAAACGGGCTGGCGCAGCGCCCAATGCAGCCTCCCTGCCCGCAGCCTAACAAGACTATGACTGCTATCGTTACGGGTCGTCCCAAAGCCTCTGTAGTGCCATTCTGGTTCTAGGCGGAGCTTCTGTGACTCTCTACCACTGGTCGTTTCCAGCTGCATGCGAGAATTTAAGAAAATCAGATGAAAGTTAATAATTACCATAGGCCCTCGTCCTCCTTCGGCTTCAAGCGCTCTTAATAGGAAATCGCCACGTTCTGGGATCAAACAAACAACATCTTCTAAAGGAAGAGCACCGTGGTACCAAGTTTCATTTTCGAGTTCCTGAATGGATTCGAAATCGGGGCTCAGAAAGGAGCTCTAGAAATGACATTTCGCGACATTTCGCGAGACATATAGCGAAACAACTGGCACCTGCTTGACCATTCTTATAGAAATGAACACAGCAGGGTAGGATGTAGTTGATACCTTCGCAGTCAGTTGGGTCGTGGAATGAGCTCATCTCGGCTAGGTTTCCTACCAATAGTGAGTTGGTTCAGCAAGAAAACAAACACTGTAGAGAACGCCTCGGTGGTCTCATTCCATAGGTCCTGGCGACACCGCGACTGACTGTGACATTATCGACTGCACGTACCGTGGAACATGCTGGAACATTACCGTCAAAAGGGTGGGAAGCTTCGTACTTATCAAATAAACTGTTGCTCGTATTGATTCACGAACCTATTGACTGCACTGCTTGTAGGTAGCGAATACTGAATGGCGCTATGTGCCTCGGGAGCGGCCATACTCCAGCGGGGATGCCCATGTCATGCCTGCTCGTCTGCAGGCTCTCACCTAGAGAGCGCTTGACATATGCCATGACCATTGTCAGAGCATGCCACTCAATTACTGAAGTCTTACTGTGGCTGCATCGTCAATAAAGACGTGGGTAAGCATCAAAGACTGCCTCTAATGAGCCATAGCGCCGACTGCATTTTGCGTGAACAACGTTTGAATTTACGTGCGCTTTCCAAGGCCCAAGTGGCGCTAAGCATAGACGTAGAGGCGAGACGCGTCTTGGTCCTTCGAAGTTTTGGACTTTCCGTCCCTCCAGTGGTCGTCGAGGATGTCTTTTGGCGTTTGGGCACAAAATGGGAAAGTTCCACAGGCAGCTGCGACATAACAGCTTCATTTTGCGGACTACTCGTTGGCTCTCGAACCTGCCTCCCTCTCTTTCCTTTTGTAAAGACTCCTCCCATTTCAAAAGAGAGCTGAATAAGATTAACGTATTGGAAGCCCTCGGGTTGGAAGATGTACAGTAGACGCGTTTACTCTTCGAATGCTTGTGAAGATACTCTTTTTTTCGGTTCCTCCTGGTTAAGAGTGGCATCATGGGAAAGAAGCTGAAATCAGATCTACACAGATTGTCCACCATTCACAGAAACATCAATGCGGGCGAACTCGTCGTAGCATCCACTCATGGGCTACTTACTAAGGCTGTGGTAGGGAATGATTGACAGCACATTCGCGCTTTTGCCTGTTTTGTCGGTTCCACGTGGGCAGCCGGCATATCCGTGTTTCGAAGTTCCGGCAAAATCCCATGACCCCGGATGTGGCGTAAGGACACCATGGCCGGCTGGTGTAGGCGCTAGCGTCAGTGCTCACTAGAAACCCTACCTCTTGGATAACGGCTTAATCCAAAGTCATGCTGTTACTTCGAAACCGCCCCGGGACAGCTCTGTTCGTGTTGTTTCTTCTTTCTAGCTTCACATGCCACCCTTCATTTCGAGGAGTATCATAGAACGCTGTAGCCCTTCTGTCTGAGTTTCGTCTTTTTGGGTCTCCTCTACTTCTAGTGCATCCTCTTACATAGATTTCCAAGGCATGAATGTTTTTGGTCACATGGTAGTTCCTCCTCGCGCTTTCCTTTTTCGTGTGTCTATTTTTATTTCTTTTCTGTTTCCTTTTTACTTCGTTGCTTTTTTAACTCTTTTTGTTGTTCGTTGCTTTTTTTTAATTCTCTTTTGTTGTTCCCTTAAATTTTTTGTTTCCTGTCATTTCCTTTTTTGACTCTAGAATCACTGAGTTCTGTTACTGATCTCCCGCACGGACCGTTGTACTGACCTGGCGCGTCATTGTACGCATAAATAAATAAATAAATAAATGTAGGTTGTATTTCACATCGATGAATCAACGACGAGTGGGTGCGTGTGCATTTCCACATGTGAGCATCCGTAACCATGAGCCGTATGGGCAGTGCCGAACTCACATCTCTATGCTCTCACATCGTAATCTTCACCCGCGTTCCTTCTTGAAGGTCCACTTTGCAGCGCCCACGAGCACCAGCGTGCTGGCACTTCCTGGCTAGTTGACTCCACAGCTTTCATATTAATTTCATATTAAATCTATTATGCGCTCGAGCAGTTCTTGCGCACATGGCACCAACTGCAATGCAACTCGGCGCCGCATCACCCACAACGAGGAGCTCCCGACCGTTCCACCCCCCCCCCTCGCGTCCTTCCTTCTGCTCTATTCTTTTATCTCGGGTAATTTAACTATGATAACCTTACAGCCATAATTTTTTCTGCTCCTTCATCTACGTATTTTGCCATTTCTACTTTTCTTCTTTCATCACCTCTGTCCTGAAATGCAGCTGTTTAAATGTTATTCTTGCTCTGTCAGAAACAAACTGTGCAGTCATCTCCATGGACACTGGTCTTGGTCATGTACGAAGCGAATAGGGCTCCAGCTACACTAGTGTGTCACTTTCTGCATTCAAGACTGCATGGGGACGGGGCTGGAGGGTGCTGATACAGGGTGCAGTTTCTCGATTCCATCCCTTGCTGCTGCTCGGCTCACCGTAGTCAGACACTCTGTTTGTCTGCGCCCTCTCACTTCCAGTTGTCTCTACGTCTGATTGCATGTAGGCTGCGAAATTTTGGCATCAACGCAAGTGTCTCATCATGAGTATAGCGCGGGTGGAGTGCGAAACGGCACCGGGTATCATTCCCTTTTGGCATCATTCCCGCGCACTTCCATGTGGCAAAAGTGTCACACTTGTGCAGTTGCTAACCTGTACCGTTCGCGCATTTCAAGAGCAGACTTTTGGAGGTACATACAGATTGTCTCTAGGTTCCATTCATGAGAAACCCTCAAAATGATAAGTCCCACCTCTTGTCTACCTGCACATCGTAAAAGTTTTTCATATTGATTTTTGGGTTCTTCTATCATATCTCCTACAAGAACATATCATTGATGTCAGTGGGGCATTGATCCATAACTACCCTCTGAGTCGTGTAGAACACTTAGAAGAAAACAATATCGTGCCACTTGGCGGACGCAGCAGGGCGCTATGCCCAACAAGGGGCACCTACAGAGCGCCAAACCAAAGGGCAACCAACTCAGACGCCCACCGCAACCGCCTGCCCACAAATGGTCGCATAGTCACAACGACGCTGGTACTCTTATCGCTTCATTTCTGAAGTACAATTGATATGAAGCGTTGCCACATGGATATGTGTATACATACGTGCAGCCGTATCTATCAAAGCGGTTGTTGGCACGATGCCAACGGGAAACTCGTCCAAAAATGCTCGTCCAGTGCCGTGCAGAACAAAGGTTTTTCCGCAGGTTTTTGGCCGTTTAACTTCGCTTTTTCGTCATTTTCCCACTATATAGCACTCCTGCTACTATTTTTGAGCAAGTACCGAGCTGTGGCCCGTATGCCTTCGACTAGCTGCCCCGCTGGTGCGATGCAAACTCCTGAAGGGGTGTAAGTGGGTATCATTTAAGGCGTCCTTGGCGGTTTTTTAGCAAATATTGCCACGGAGGATGACTCTGGTGTAGCCAAGACAAGGGAGATAATGTGCTATTCATCTCCAGATAATCGCCCATCCTGCTAGTTGAACCAGTTTTCCATCAGTACCTATCCGGCTTCGTCATCAACCCCTAGGTCATCCCTTCTATGTCTAGATCATTTGCCAAGAAAAAATGAACAGCCAAAGCGCGAAAGGATGGTTCGACAGGGGATCGTGAGATTATAACTTCGTATA